ATCAGTAGGTATTAGGGCTACACAGTGATGGAAACTGCACACAGGCTTTCCTCTTTCAGTCAGTTCACCTTGGTAGGTGACCCTAGGCTTGGTAGACTGACAAGGAAATAGGGAATCCTAATTTTGTTTCTTTTGCAGTGAAGTCTGGAGGAATCTTGCAAAAATCAGCTGCTTAAGCATGGCCCTGTGTTCAGGGCCATGAATCTCAGGTGGGTTATTCCTATCACACTCCAAATAGCTGGAGATTAGGAAGTCATTTGGGCCAAGCACCTGAAATCTTAAGCAGTTAGACTCAGGAGCTGGTACAACTTGGGTTTCTATTGCAAATTTGAGAAGAGATGCCAGTTAGAATATTATATTCTTTCCCACACTTCCTTTTGTTTTTTTCTGATGATCAGGGTGACATAAGGAAAGAAAAGCAGTTTATTTTTTAGAAAAAAATCTATTCTTTCTTCCAGGCCTCTCTGCCTGGTGCTGTTCTTATTGAAAGTAATCGCATAATTACCACTAAATTAAAAGAGATGAAGAGGAGGCTCTCAGCCCTTACAGGAATCTACAGCAGAGTGAAGCTTCTGGTGCCAGCACTTAACCTTCCAATTTCAATTGCCACTTTGGGGTGCTGGAGCAGGTCCTCCCTGTTTAAGGAAGGGAGCAGGCTCTCCATTTTTAGATGAACAAAGAGGGATGGCTGCTTTCTTACCTGTTCATTGTAATTACTTTTAAGTGCCTGTTCTGATCTCTTTCTTCAGTTTTACAATATTAAAATCCACAATATGAAGCTCAATGCTTCCTGAGAGAGAGCTTTCATTCTCACTCATGATAATAATAGTAATAAGAACAATACATTTTAATGAAGTCAAGGATTTGGGTTATCTGGTATTTCCATCTGCCTTGCAGCCAGAACATCCTCTTTTGCAAACTATTACATTTGGTGTTTTTAAGGTTTTGGCTTTGCTGCATTTACCTTTGATTTCACAAATGATTGACATGTTTTCCTTCAAAGTAGCAGATCTACCAGTTTAGTAACTAGGACCATCATAGTTTCAGTTATAATTTTCCCCTCCACGGATCTTTAATTTAGGTTCCTTCATTTTCTGTGCACGGATCGCTGTAGAAGAGGAGCTTAAACTGTTCTGGCTTTCTAGGTCCAATTGTAACAGTTCTGACTCCAGAGATGGTAACATAAGGTTTCAGTGTCTAAGGCAGAATCACAAATACTTTCCAAGGAGAATAAGCTGTTACGAACCCTTTTCACTGCTTTTGTGGCCTGTATTGAAAACAAGATTATGTCTTCATTGTAACTAAATGTTTAACTGAGTAAAAGGTTATTCCTTTAGCCATAATTGTGTGCTGATTGACATACAAAATCTGAGCCAGATTTTCCAGAGGTGACATGTTCCTATATATATATATATATAAAGATATAAAAATAGGACTTCATGCTGCTACTCAAAAAGATTTAATCTGTCTGATTTAATCTGGGTGTTTTTCTCACTGGGCTGGACAAACTATATATGTTCAAGCCCCAAGCACTACAGTAATATAGCAGAAAATGGGCTGGTGCTGCATGCAGCCTGTACAGTGAGGTTTCTGCTCCTTATTCAGTCAGAATTGTTTGTGTCCTTGTGTTTGTGTGTATGGTGCCTTGTTTTAAAGCTCCTCCAAAGGGTGCTGTATGTCTAAATACAAGGGGCTGGGACACAGTCTGAGTTCTATGTGAAAGGTTTCAGAGCAGAAAAAAAATTAAGTGTGGAAAAGAAGTTCAATTTGGTCAAAAATATCTGAGGAGAGCTGTGTGAGGTTTTAAAGTACAGTTCCTTCATTGTATCATAAATTTTAGTCTATCTGCAAAATTACACTAGAGAAAAGCAAACTGGTATTTATAACCAAAACCAGAGGCAAGCATAGCAAAAAAAAAAAAATTACTAACTTATCAGAGTTGTGCTGATAAGGGAGATTGAGAAAACTTTGATTTTCCAGGAGGTTAAAGACTGTCCTATCTCCTGAAACATTACTCATGCCAATGCTCACAACTCTTTGGGGAACTTCTTTGGTGGGAGGAAGGACACTGGATTCAAGTCTCCAACCGACAGACACAGTGACTTTTAAGGCTGGGAGAACTCTTATGCCCACAGAAGGAATTTGAGAATATTCAGTTTCAATGGGATGATTGTTTCAGGGATTGGGTTGTTTAAAATTATGTGAGTTTTACTTTCCAAATTTGGTTGCAATAAATGCTTTGAAATCAAACATTGTTTATTATTTGTCTCTAAAAACCAACCAGATTTACTAATTACAAAACCTGATAAAGAAGGAAGTTTGAGATAAGCAATAACATTATAATTGCAGGCCACTTTATACATGAAAGTCATTGCTTAGTTCTTAAACATAAGCATCAGACTGTAAACCAGATCCCATTAATTTGGTGATGACAGTTGTTTTTCTTTATTATGGATTCGTGTTCCAGAATTTTAATTTACAACCAAATTACTAATCTAACATTAGCATTCTGAAGATGATATTAAAAAGTTAATTGAACCCGAATCTAGTGGAGGTAAATTCAACGCCTGAGTCTGCAGACATCCCTAAGAAATAACTCTGATCCTGTTCATCCCAGAGGGCTGTACTGATACAAGTACCTTAGCCAAAATACCTACTTTATAAACTGGCAATGCAAAAGTGTACTCCTTTTCTTATGTTCAAAAGCCACTGCTACTCTCTAATCAGCTTCTAAAACCTCGATGTTTTCTTCTGTGTCTCTGTCTTCACTGGGTAAACTTTAACTCTTGAAAGTATCTATATATGTGAAGCATAGTGATGCGTGTTCATAGAAAAGAAAAGTAGATCTTGTCCCCAGTTCACTCAAGTACGCATTGCTACATATTTCTTTTTTAAAATATGCATCACTTATCAAAACTTCACCAGTGTGTTGTCTGTAAACTGGCCAGAGTATTTGACTGTGTCCTGAGGAGGAGTATATAGGGCCTTGACCTTAAATTGCTTTGAAAGAATCCTGCTGGGTTGGGTCTGCAGAGCTCATTTGCTTCCTTGCTGTCTGCTGTTTGTGCTTAATTAATATATTTGAAACTTCTAAGGATGTCATGGCTGCAAGGGTAACCGTGGTGACTATGCTTACACTATTCCTTCTCAGACAGTGTATGGTGTGAGCATGATCCAGAACCCTTCAGCTTATCCATCCACACAAATATCCTGCTCCTGCACCTGACCCAGGGAGACTGTGGGACAGGATGCCCCTGCAGCAGAAATCTGAATATATTGAGAATGTACAGTGATATAGTGGGCCTGTGAGAAAACCTCTCTGTCCTTTCAGAGCATCTAGGCAGAACTGTGTAGAGTCCCAGGTGGGCTGTACTGGTGGAGTAAAGCCTCGCTGGTGAGCCCAGAGTTGTAATTTTGGAAATAACTGTCCTTGTGCATACCCAAAATTTGGCTTATGCTGTCTCAACTTACTGAAATTAAACCAAAGCTGTATAAATACTGGAGGTTTTATATATGCATGGGATTTTGGTAACAATGGTTCTGTAATTCTAACTTAACTATGCTAACAAGGCTAAAGAAGTTCTACCTATCTTTCTTTGGTCAGAACTCTTGAGAGACAATATCTGCCCTGCATTTGTTACCAAAGCTCCGGTGAAGCAAGATTAATACATCAGTCTGGTTAGGGCATGGTAAGGGGGAATGGTTGAGAGAACTGCCAGGAGAGTGTAGCAGATTTGTTCATGGAGGGACTGGCCAGGGATGGTTCAGTCAGGGGGAGAGGGGCTTTTTCAAGGGTACTAACTTCACAGCAGTGCCGTCTCCACCTGACACAAGTGTGAAATATTCTCTTGCTACCTTTGGTATTTCAAGTGTGAAATGCTCTCCAGACAACCTTGGTATTTCAAGTGTCATTTACATATCTGAAGTGAGGTGACAATGCAGCTAACCCCAGTGCAAGTTCTCCTGGAATTTTATTTAAGCTATTTTTTCCACAGAAAGTTTGGTCTTTATAGCAAATGCAATTTTAAAGAAATCAATATAAATACAAGTCATCAAATACAAAAATTAATAGTTCATTTCAAATATTCTTGTCCCGGCTCTTTTTCTTGATTTTTCCCTCTGATTTTGTTCAAAGATTGTAGAGTCATATTTTTTCTCTCATGCAGTAGTTTAATACCTTGTACCCCTGTGCTTGGAAGACTTTATAGCAATTCAAGCTCTGGAGCTTCAGTCACGCACAGATTAAACAAATGGGAATGATGGAGCTTATCCTGTTCAGCCGCAAATCTTTAAATCTGACTTTAGCCTGCATGTGCCACTCATGGTATAATGTGGAATTGGGGCAGTTCATGATGCCCAGAAAAGAATGACCAAGTTATTCCCATGGGCACAGATTTTGTTCTGTCCCCGTGGTCCTGTTATTGAAATGTGTGTGCACACAACAAAAACCCAGTTTCTCCTGCACACAGCCTGTGTCATGAAGCCTGTGCATAGTGCTAGGCTCAGGTGGAACAACATTTTCATATGGAGCAGTTCAGTACATAGTATAAAGATTTATTAAATTTTTCAAGGGACAATTTCATTTTTGAGAAATGCTGGTTGTTAAAAAGGCACATCTCACAGAAATGCTGAGGTACTTGGTTAAGTAGGTTTACTGTAGTCTCAATAAAGCAAGGAAACAGTTCAAATAGTGATAAAGTATTATGCACTTTTAATTTTAAGTGGAGAGGGTAAAATGAAGGTGTTACCTGTATCAGGAGACAGATAAGGTCTGCTTTTTATTATTAAAGCAATTGTAAGAGATATGACAAGTATTCATTGATTTAGTTCAGTTTAATTAGTCAATGTTGGGTTAAAACCTCTGTTCCTGTGACTTCTGGAGCTGCATGTTGCAATCTGTATCACTCCATTAATATGGTATCCTAGCGAGCATGTTTCCTATTTTGCTCCCATGGGTGAGATTTAGAGGTATGATGGAGCACTGTTTTGACTTCTCACAGGATGAGCTGGATGAACTTCGGGCTGAAATGGAAGAAATGCGTGACAGCTATTTAGAGGAAGATGTTTACCAGCTGCAGGAGCTCCGGCGAGAGCTGGACCGGGCAAACAAGAATTGCCGCATTCTGCAATATCGTCTCAGGAAAGCAGAACAGAAAAGCTTGAAAGTTGCACAAACAGGCCATGTGGATGGAGAGCTCATTAGGAGCCTGGAACAAGATTTAAAGGTGGGTTGAGCGATTCATATACACAGCAAAAGAGAGCAGACTGTGATGTGGCTCTTTGCAATGGAAGTGAGGGTGACACATGAAACAAGCAGTAGTTCTCCAAGTGCCAGAACCAATTTCCTTCTGCTGTGGTGGAGAACAAATATTAAACTTATCATCATAAAAAGATGTGTCACTGAGTAAAAAAACATGTGTTTAGATTCAAAATAAAAGAAAGTCAAGTTACATTTAAGCCTTTGAAAAATTTAAAGGATCTTTTTTTACTGAAAACCTTAGCTTTTCAATACTGTATAAACAAAACCTGATACCTTTTTCCAATCCATGCTGTTTCCTTCCTTTTCACTTCTTGCTTATGCCAAGTATCTTAAAAAAAACTAGTCAAAGCTGCATTTCTTAGTGTCTTATGAGTTACTTGTAACATTAACAGACTTATAATATTTTAGTAAGACAGAGAGAGAATCAAAATGCTCTTTCCATAAAAGCACAAATCCCTGTAAAAATAATATTAATAAACAGCTTTTATATTTTTCAGAAGTGTTTCCTTCAAGACCAAATTAGGCTTTGTATAGTCATCATGTTTGTCTAGTTTCATCTTTTTTAATATTGCTATCTTGTAGCTGTTTTTAAAATACGTTTGTAGAGAGGGACTGCTTACCACTGGAATTATTAAGCATTTTGTACTTAAAAATGCAAAACATAAAATCTTCAGAAATTGGAACGATTTGTTGTCAGCAGTGGAAATGAAAGTAACACATCAAATCATCAAACCTTTTAAAATATCAGACCTAATTTTGTCTTTTATGATAAAAAAACCAAATTATAACCTTATATAATTGTATATATGTTGTAATTCCATAATTCATCGTTTTGCATGATGTATCACCTTTCCAAATGTTTTTGGAGTATATGTTTATCCTTGTTAGGCTGGACTCAGAAAACCTAAGCTATCATATATTTCTGTGCTTTCATATCACTCTTGCTTAGTTATGATTGCTGTTAGAGCAGCAAATTTGGGTGGATGACTGTTGCATGGATGTTGCTTTGATCGATGACCTGTCAGCTTTACAGCACAATTCCTATCTTTTGCTTTATCTACGTGATATACTGGAACTTTGATGGGCAGGTTTGGTATCTGCTTGTTTCCTCCCACTGTTCTGACATTGTCTTAGCATAATGTGGAGATGGGTGATCAAACGTGTTTTCATTCTGGATTTCTTTATTAGAAATGAATATTCGTTTTGGAACTTGGAAAACTCGGAGGCTTTCATCAACAGTGTCATAATTGAATTAAAAATCTCTTGGCTTTCTAGGGCTGTAATATGCTTTTACTGTAAGAGACATACTGTAGCTGTTGCTCCCCATGGATGATCTTCATGCATTTGTGCTCTTCCTATCAGGTAGCCAAAGATGTTTCTGTCAGACTGCACCACGAGCTGGAGAGTGTGGAGGAGAAGCGTGTGAAAGCAGAAGATGAAAATGAAGTCCTTCGGCAGCAAATCATTGAGGTGGAGGTATCCAAGCAGACGCTGCAAAATGAGCTGGACAAGTTAAAAGAGGTAAGCAATTGTCAGGAAAGGCATGCAGAGCAATGTTGGTGGGTTAGATGGGAAATTTGATGCACAGGTTTCTTAGACTAGATCTGACATGAAATGCTTTCCAATATTGCTTGTACAATTGCTCAAAAGGTCTCTTTTGTTACATGTCCCAAATGCAGTGATAGTTTAGAAGCAATAGAGATGTGGATGATGTGGCTTTTGTCTGTGCCTTCTCACAGGGCTTCTGTCCCATTTTAAATTGCCTTCTTAAAACCTCTCTTCCTACTAGAGCAAAACCCTTTGATTTGACTCCAGCTAGCTCTGGCTCTCCTTTGCACAGACTGGGACTTCCACCTACTTGAAAGTCAAATGAGGTGTGCATGACTTGTCTCTGAGAGGATGGTTCAGATAGGCAAGCCGCCGTTTTGGCTGGTACTCTTCAGTGGTGACAGTGGGAGCCACCAGCATGAGCTAGGCAGCAGGAATGTGGTCTGTTATGTATAAATAACATTGCACTTCAGGCACAGAAATGCTGCCTCTTGAGAAAAGGGATCATTTCAACTGGAGCTGACACATAGTCATACTGGGTGAAGTGATGATCCTTGGAAGCAAGTGAGCTGAGGAGCAGGGGACAGTAAAGGAAAGCCAAATACTAAGCATGGCTCTTTACTGGAGCCCACATCCCAATGTGTAGCAGTATTTCTGTTCTCTTAACAGTACAGCAGATTGACATCTCACAGCCTCTGCTCTGTTTTAAACCAGATTGAGATAGAGCATTTAAACATAATGAGGTAAGGCATTTATCCTCTGAGCCCTGGTCAGATTTAGAGAGCTGGTGCAATTATGTGTTATTTTAATCTTTCAAACATTGCTTGCAAGTCAACTGGCACAAAGCCTGGCTTAGTTTTATAAGGACAACACCTACTTAATTTCTCTTGCGTTTGAGTTATCAGTGGTCCAGTGCAAGAGTTTAGGAGCATTTTGTACCTAACAGAACAGGTCATCAGCTGGTGTAAATATCAGGGTTGCTTAGATTACTTATGAACCTGACACAAAGGATAAAGTCTGCATGATGTTTTAGCTATTCTTCTTTCTCAATATTATTTATGAATGCTGTGCTTAATGGACAGTACTATGTTACAGGGTCTGCAATCTATACTCCGTACAAAAATACCATCTCATTGACAGTCCTGAACATATTGCTTGTTGTTGATTAACATGCAGGTCCAGTAAGTACTGCTTGGTCATCTTTGAGATTAAGCAGTTTGAGAAATTAAACTGTGGGTGACCAGTGGGGAAAAAAAGAGGTCCATCAGTGCTGAAGTCTCAAGGTAGCTCTAACCAGGCTGAATTTGCCTTGCTGCTTAGATTGCTACAGTCTAGCCATGCTGGGAAGCTCCATTGACTCTGCTTCTTCTCTGCTGCATTGAGAAGCAAAGTGAATGCACCCTTACTTTCGAAGCGGGCTTTGCACCCTAAGAGGCAGCAGCTGGAGGGGAGCTAGGGAAAGGGAAAGATAGCAGGTAGAATGATGGGATGTATTCTTCTGATCTGGAGATACAGCAGGGCATAAAATGGATCATAAGATGTAGTAGTAGTAGCAGTAGAGATAATTTGGTTTCTCATGCCATGAGTTGTGGTTTCTCTGGCAGTCGGAATTTCACAAGGTCACAGTAGGTGAGAAGATGGAGGTTTGAGTCCTTGACAGGTCATACTGGGACAGATGAGCCAAAAGCTGGAGAAACACAGCAGTGTGTGTGTCAGATAAGTATGTGTTGGCAACGTTGTCGACATTGCTAAAAAAAAGAAACTAGTCTTGACTCAAGATGCGTTCAAATAACTACCAGAAGCAATGCCTTCTTAGAAACATTTAATATGTACAAAGCTCTAAAGGAGCGTATTACAGACATGCCAGAGGGAAAGCTAGTGCTTTATATATCAGGAGAAAAGTGACCCAAAGGCCATGTAGCTTCTTCCCAATCCATGCTGACTATGCATCTTGTCTATCTAAAAGCTGACAGTTAGAAGGAGCATTTTTCCTAACCAGTCCTAGAGCATTGCCTTAGGCCCAGTTAGACAGTATTCACTCTCTGATATAGCTCACTGCAAACATATGCTTATTTCCTGTAATATCCTTGACTATTCTCAGCCCTTTTCCTTTTTCATCCCCTGATCAACAAAAAGGTTTTCTCACATCCATGTTCATGTTTATTACTTAATTCAGTGCTAGTTTCTGCTTTGGTCTGCTGTACAATTCCCTCGGGTTCAGTTTCTCACTGCAGTAGATGGCATGTATGTTAATTACCTTTAACGTGTTTTGCATGCTGAAATGTCTTTAGTAATTGTACACATCTCTGAAAACCACTCTTTTTTAAAACCACCTTTAGTTTTTACCATAATCTCTTGAAGAATTTCAAACGTTTATCATGTTTAGTGCTGTTGCATATTTTTTATCCCAGTACCTGTTTTCATCTCCTGTGATACTTTTAACAGGATTTCTTTGGTGTAAAATGCATACAGACTCATTCTATCTAAATAAAATTCTTATTTCCTTAAGAAAGAAGCCTTACAGGTTTAACTGGGAAATTATTTTTTTGCCTCCTACTGACCATGTAATTTCAAGTTGTTGTAATAAATAGGTATAAGATAGACTTTCCTCTTTGTCACTAAATAATATTTCTCAGTGGGTCTTACCTTTGCAAATAATCCTTCACAGTCTCCCCTCCCCTCTCTCTCCTGCTGCTAAAGCACTTCCCTCCCCAGTCCCAGGTGCTTCTAGATTCCCATTTCATGACATACTTGCAGAAGTTTATCAAAATCTATCGAAACCACATCTAGACTCTTGTTTTGTTCTGGTATCTGCAAATACTCCCCGTCATCAAAATATTCTGATTTTCACTGAATATTTCTGTAAGGAGCTGTCACATAATCAGTGAATCACTTACAGGTTTTTTAGGGTAATGCCACCTGTTTCCCTTTGTTTTTTTCCTTTTTTTTTTTTTATAAGAGTGCTCTATCCCTTCAGCCTTTTGCTGCATTTCCTGTGTTTTGAGCTAAGATATGAATTGCTAAGGATGTTTAATGAATGCTTGTGGATTTTATCCAATTCTGATGTCTTCCAGCTAGACGTCATTCTTCTCTGAACATCTTCATCAGTATCCTGGCATTCGCTTTGCTTACTCATGCCACTCTACTTCCTTTTTTTTCAGTCCTGTTAGCCAAAAGCTTATATGGTGCTTTCTTTTCCATAATACTTCATATGGGTTTTTTTAAGATATTATTTGTTTATCACGGTGTAGGTTCATCATCTGCTACTCTTTCCTGAAATACTTCCACTGATTCTTTTGAAGCTGCTTCTTTCACTGGGTAATAATGTTTTCTCACTGAATATTTTTTAACTTTACTGACTGTACTAGGTTTTTCTGTTTCAGTCAAACTGCTGCAGCACTGGTTCATTGAATTTTTTCCATGATTACATTCACCTACTTTTTCACTTTTCCTTTTTCATATCTTCCCTTTCTTTTTATTTTTTTTTCCCTATGAACTTTTCAACTGGTTTGGGGCAGCCGTCTGATACTTTTTTTGTGGCATTCTCCATCAGAGCTTCAGAGTTTTCCTACTGCTGTGAACACTTCTTTGTAGCATATCCTGGAATGTCTCTGAGAATGATCCCTTCTAGGAATTTGCTAGGATTTTCTGTGACTTACGAAAGCTGCTTCCTCCTTACAACTTTAGAAGCAAAGGCAATGTGCCCTCACAGGTTCAGTAAGTACACGTATCCCTGCCAAGGCTTGCTTGCTTTTTTTCTCTTGTTGTCTGGGTTATTAACATTGCCATTTGAGTCAATACGCTGCCAGGAGAGAAAAAAAAATTACTCCATCACTAACAAATTACCTCAGCAACATCTCTGCAACTGTCATTTCCCCCTTCCTAATATCCTAATGCATCTCCTGAGAAATACTGGTGTATGTTAAGAATTTCTCTCTGTCAACCAACTAGCAAGCATTCAGAACACTTTTTTCCAAAATTTCTTTTCCTTTGCACCAATGCAAAATCCTTAGCAACTCTCTTCTGAGCATCTACAAACCAGAACTTTTCTCAAAGGCTTGACAGTAGCAAGTGGATTTTCTTTGAGAACTGAACATCTCCACTCAACATCTAACTCATCCAAAACATCATTTCCTTGGAGCCACCAAGGCATCTTTAGGGAACTTCTTCCTTATATTTTCTCTGGAAAGATATTTCCCAAATAGATGATCTATTTTTAGTGTAAGTGTAACCAGCTATGAAGTCATGCTTGGCAAGTGTTGAGTGCCCTTATGTACAATGGTCATTAATTGCCCTGTAAGCAATACCTCTCAGAGTAATCCTTTCTCTAAAAACTCTGTACCTTGGGAAGAACAGACCATTTTTGCTACTTATTGTAGAAAATGCACTGAGATGGCACATGAGACAGCAGCAGGACCTGCTCCTGTTCCCCATGGGGAGAATGAGTCAGCTGCTTATTTGCAGCTGCTAATTGTGTGTTTTCTCATGTCCTTTGTCTGGGTTTGGCATTAGCCAGGGTAGAGAGAAGAGGCAGAGCTGTGGCAGCACTGACACTGCTGGGGAAGCGTAGCCCTGCCAGACCAGACAAAGAGAGGGGAGGAATAAGGTCAGGAGTAGCAGCTGCTGAAAGATTTGATGTAAGTACTGTGAAATGGTTTAGCAAGAAAAGAGTGAGAACTGTGTAACTGGGAAGAAAGGGGCATTTATTTCTTGCGTGTTCGCTGTACGGAGCAGGTGACAGCCTCTCTTATTGCCACTGAAAGCAAAAGGACTGGAGGGGGAGCAACCAGAGGTGTTGTTTTCTGTCTTGCAAGGACCTCTGGCGTAGCAGCCACCTCCCATGTGACACTGAGATTTTCTTGGTCAGCTCCTAACTTCAGTTGACATCATTTGTGCTTTGAGGCCTCCGGATTGTTGGGACCACTAGAGACACAAGTGCTGTTCTCTGGGCGTGTTCACTCAGGAAATCACTT